TTGGTTGCCGTTGTACCCACGTGGTCCCATAGGGCCTTGCGGTCCTTGGCTACCGTTGTATCCACGAGGCCCCATTGAACCCTCCTAGTTRATATATACAAGGCAATTCTTTGAGTTATGAAAAAGGCAAGACAAAAAAATGAAATAAGAGAGTTTATAAAATTCCTGASTGATTCTCCACCCCCTCTCAAACGAGTTGTATTTGCTCATATCTCGCTACTTTATCGACAACGTACACTCAATAGGCCAATCAGGAAAAGTACCGAATATTCTTGATGCCGCAATATGTTAGTAGGTGTTTTAGCCAATCGGGAAATATGTACTAAGTTCGATGATATCGTTTGTGTATCAGCCAATCAGAAAATCTGTACTATTACCAATGATATAAACTTTATATCGCGTTTGYCAATCACGAACCTTGTACAATATTTTTCATGAGATTACCTGTTCTTCCATCAAACGATTGTAATTATTTTTCAATTTCGACACTTCACTCTGTATATCTACAATTTAAGAACAACAAAAATATGCTAAAAAAGTTAATTTTCCTATTTCAGACTGTCAAATAGATATTTATCAAGAGCTACAACAAATCAATACCTTTGTTCACTGTACAAGAACATTTATACCCAATAACTCCAGCGATGTTCAAAATCACAAGAAGTAGCGCTAGTGATGAAACTATCAAGACTGTCACCAACAAAGCGTTCTCCCTGCAACGTCTGTTATGAACTTTATCAACTTCTTTTTCTTTAGTATGCACAGCTGGTTTCGAGAATCCTTCGTACTCATTTCGATCTCCGAGAGCTTGGTACACACCATCGTTCCTAGCACTAGAGGCTATTTCTCCATTCCCGTTAAGCTCTGTGTCTGGTACAATGTCTAAATACTGGTAAGACGAAGGATCTTTGTTATCGTAGTTTCTGGTTGACAAATCTCGAACCTGTTGAGTGTTTTGGATTCTTTTAGCGAGCTGGTCGTCGGCAGCAACCTCGTAAATAGGCTCTGAATCTAATGCTTGGTTTTGCTGACCTGAAGGCTGTCCATCAGACAGCATCTCAATATAGGAATCCATTCTAAACAGAGCTAATGCACGGTGAAGAAAGACTTGATAATATGTGATTTTACGGTCGTGTGACGTCTTACATGTCTTTCATTTATCATTTTAGTATTACCTCTCATTTTCTTTGTTTTTGTTCTTCCAAGCACAACKCAACACAAATCAATCTTGAGCATATTGCTAGGTCGATGCGTTCGTGACCCAGAATCGCTGGGAAACATCGCGAAAAAAAACCTTTAAAGGTTGTAAATTTGATGAAAATATGATGTAAGTGTCCAAAATTCTGTAAATTTAATGGAAATCATTTACATCMAATTTACAACCTCTATAGCGCGCGATTTTTTCCAGTGGAAGTTTATAGCAGGAGCTTTTCTTACCTGGTAACAGCCTTAAACAGTGTTTGATATTTTGAGCGTGTTTTATTTCAATTCTGATTATTTACAAAGGTATATATGTAGATAATTTAGAGAACTAATGTAAAGGAACAATGATGTAGTATGGCTGCAAAAATACAATAACATAAGTAAAATGACAAAATGAATGACATGCACCCTTTCACTGCAGGGGTTCAAAAAGGTAAGAGCGCAAGGGAGTGTGGGATGKCWAATAATTAGCCCAATATCATTAGTACAACAAAGTTTCCCACAAACGATCTACAAAATAATTAGTTTGACRAATTAAAGCTAATTTCTMTGCAAGAATATCCAAAATATTAAATTTGTAACTTTCATAAATTTTTTAAACAAATTCCATATGCAAAAACAAGGCATTTTACTAAAATTTGGTTTCGCATTTAAGATATAAGCGGACATTCTGTGTAAGTTATGTAACAGTACATTTTAGTAGGTAGAGATGGATTACTAAAATATGAGTAGSTTCCTCGCCCTAAACACAAACACGAGTATTTATTCTTGTTGTCATGGAAGCTATGACCTCGTTGCACAATGTCTGCGTTGTTTGAAGAGCACGAATAATGYAARATCTTTTTTCCCTGAAGCAAAAAAGCAAATCTATGTTATCTATGTAGCGCTCCAGATTTCCAAAATTATGAGTCAACATGGATGGTGTGTTATGTAGTGGTAACTATGGGGATCTTTAKCTCGGTTGGACATGAWGRCCAGACTAAAAGTAAAATAGTGGTTTCTTTCCAGAGGTATCGAACTGACAATAAAAATGTTGTGAATTTCTTTGTTTTTTCTATCAAGTATTGATCAGGTATAAAGATTAGTAGTACACGTACCGTTTCTTCAATTACTTCTATCTCTTGCTTTGCCGTGTCGCCAAGCGGGCTTGTCCCTGCGGATGACTTAAACTTCACAACACACTGCGTCAGATTCCCAGCTCCTGAAGGTCCCACTGCTCCCGTGGCTCCTGTATCTCCCTTGTCACCTTTTTCTCCCTTTACGATTGTACGATTGTAACTTGACACCCTATCAATCTTGAACAACAACCACTGTCTTTAGTAAGTACAAAGAGAGAGCATAAGTATATTTTACAAGAATTAAATCATACTTTTGC